CTTAAGGGGGGAACACTGGTTAGCTGGGCATGATAAAATGTGTAAGTATAGGAGTCTTAAAGAAGAACAGTGCTTTTTTTTTCTGCTGTTTTCCTTCTTCACGATGTCCAGTTTTTCCCCTTTATTAGTACTGTTTCTCTAAGATTGACTCCACCACTACCTCATTTCTCACAGCAAATTCTTTTTAGGCTTCAGGTAAGGAGGAGTGAAAGGAGATTCCTGGATAATGGATATGGAAGAAATTTCTGTGCTGAGACCTTTTGCCTAAGAAGTGTCATTTTTCATGTGCATGTGGCTGAGGACACGACCATTACTGTTTTGGGCACTTCAAGGGAGGGCTAATTGGAGCTTCATGCCACTAAGCATATGAAGTTACTGTAGCCAGAATGAACTGATGGTTGAAATAAGAAGTGAAGCAAACCCACAGCTGAGATAACATCTGATCCTGTGGTGTGTCAGAAGTAGCAGTAGTCACAAATGACAGAGCTGAGGTGGACACCTTCTTTGTTACAACCATGGCAAACAAAAGAGGCATCAAATGTGGAATGAAGTGGTAAAAGCACTCTTCCTTAGTCTGTATCTAAACTCAAGCAGAGTGGAGTGGGCTGGCAGGCACTGAGGTCAGTGACCTGAAAAATGCTCATCGTGAGGCTTGTCTACGCAATCTGCTGCATATGGAAACCTCCAATGTTGCAAACAGAGCCTAAAAATGTAATAAACTGGATAGGAATAGGACCTACCAGCAGGCACAAAAAGAAATAGTTGCATTTATTAACTTGTTAAAAGTTAGTAGGAATTTTGATCTTTTCAAAATATTTTTCTCAAGTATTTGCATCAAAGATTCAATGTTTAGCATAGGATTGGGATACTGCAATGTAAACCAGAAAGCTGTCAGGTAAATAGCTTCACACAGTAAGATCACAGGAGGAGCTAGAATAATGACTGAATTTACACAAACCTCAATCAAAAAGGTTTCAAAAGCAGAGGAGTAGGATGCTGTTTCTTAGTAATTTGTATATTAATGATGATTTACTCAGCTGAAGCGGTTGGTTCCCTTTGCACTCAGCACTTCCCCTTCCTGACTTGGTATCATCACATCATTTCTGAGTTTCTTAGCCACTATTAAGGTAAAGTCAAACTAAATGTTTTTCCTCTTGCTTGAGAATGTATTTGAATCTTCATAGCTTTACCTACCAAGTAGAGAACACTACCAAGTACAGTTCTATAATGGGAGCATGCCTGTTAATATACTGTGTGGCATAGAGGTACCACTAGTCCTGTGTGCTTGCAATATGCATGAAACACTGCATGTACTCAGAACTAGGATGAACCATAACAACACAGGCACTTGAGATGAGATGTGCTTTGTCTGCTTTAAGGGGGCTTGGTGAAGGCGTTGTAAAGTTATAAAATTGGTGTTTGGCTCCAGAAGTGTTTTAGAGCATCTACACAAATGCATCAGCACTCTCTTAACATCATCAGTGAAGTATTAAATGCTCTAGTTCTCTGCTAGGTGTGTGGCTATTGTCATCTCTACTCTCTGTTGAGCTTTTGACTTGTAGCTGTTCGTTAAGGCACAGTTTGGAGAAGAAAGGTCTGCAGTGCCATCTTCCCATGGTGGCAGATGAGAGAACAAGCATTTTGTTCAGAGCTGATCTACTTCTACTTGTTTTAAAACCCATTCTATATCTCCCAAGAGGGGATCCATTCATTTCAATACCATGATGACCAGTGGCAGTGGTGGTGAGCGCTCACATCTGGCATACAGGCATAGCAGTTAGCACACTAACTTAGGAAGCCAGATACCTATGTTTGCCAATTAACGAATGCAAAGCTAGGACATGAAAAATATCTAGGAGCGGCTTCACAACATCCTTTTCCTCTTCTTTTTTCTCCTACACTGGTATTTTGGATTGGAAAGTGACTATTACGGATCCTGTTTTATGCTGATTATGCTGTTGTCAAGTCTGTTTTAGTCATTTCCAAAGCAAAGAAAAGCTTCAAGCCCCAGAATCAAGAGTTGGGCACTTCTTCAAGGTCAGAGCAGTGGGAGGTGAGTACAAAGCTGCCTATGCAGGATGCTTCTCTGCATAGGCAAGCAGTTTAATGCTGGTCTTTGCCCTACCAAACTCCTCCACAATTTTCTGAATGGTATTTTAAGGTACAGTTTACTCTGAAGAATTGACTTGTAATCTCTGTTCGTCCCATTCAGATATTGGCGCAGTGAGTGTATGGTAAACAGGTGGGGCAGGAAACTCATTCGCCATCTCATAGTGAGTTGTGTTCACTTGTGAGCCACAGCCACTTGGCCTTGAGGCCAAACAAAGAGGAACACGAGTGTTAGGTGTCTTTTGGATTGTTGGGAAGATAGATTTTTCTGGTTGTTCTTAGCAGAATTTCCCATTGCCAGAAATTCAACATGCAAATACTTCTCATCCTCATCAGCAGTAATTTTGTTTACCCCGTTGCTTATATGTTAAAAATGGAGTGTTATGAAAAGAATTATACAAAATTGAATCATGATTTCTGGGTAATGTATTGCTGTCTGTATTAGCTGTGGGAATAGGTATTTTTCCACTAAGACCTGAAGAGAATTGAAAGATTATTATAAATTGACATGGGAGAGAATGGTCAACAATGGTCAGTGGTTCAACATCTTCATCAATGACCTTGATGAGGGGATAATGGCCACCCTCAGCAAGTTTGCTGATGGTACGAAGTTGGGAGGATTGGCTGACACGCCTGAAGGCTGTGCTGCCATTCAGCGAGACCTGGACAGGCTGGAGAGCTGGGCAGTAAGAAACTGGATGAGGTTCAACAAAAGCAAGTGTAGAGTCTTGCATCTGGGGAGGAATAATTGCATGCGCCAGTACAGGTTGGGGAATGACCTGCTGGAGGGGAGCTTTACGGAGAGGAACCTGGGTGTCCTGGTGGATGACAGGTTGGCCATGAGCCAGCAGTGTGCCCTTGTGGCCAAGAGAGCCAATGGCATCCTGGAGTGCATTAAAAAGAGCGTGGCCAGCAGGTCGAGGGAGGTGATCCTCCCCCTCTACTCTGCCCTGGTAAGGTCTCATCTGGAGTACTGCGTCCAGTTCTGGGCTCCCCAGTACAAAAAAGACAGGGATCTCTTGGAAAGAGTCCAGCGCAGGGCCACAAAGATGGTGAAGGGCCTGGAGCATCTCTCCTATGAGGAAAGGCTGAGTGAACTGGGTCTGTTCAGCCTTGAGAAAAGAAGACCGAGAGGGGACCTGATCCAGGTCTATAAATATCTAAGGTGTGGTGGCCATAGTGGTGAGGCCAGTCTCTTTTCAGTGGTGAGTGGAGACAGGACAAGGGGAAACAGACATAAGCTGCAGCATAGGAAGTTCTGCACAAAAGTGTGTAAGAACAGCTTTACAGTGAGGGTGATGGAGCACTGGAACAGGCTGCCCAGGGAGGTGGTGGAGTCTCCTTCTCTGGAGATGTTCAAGACCTGCCTGGATGCCTACCTGTGCGACCTGCTGTAGGGAACCTGCTTTGGCAGGGGGGTTGGACTCGATGATCTCTGGAGGTCCCTTCCAACCCCTACAATTCTGTGATTCTGTGAATGTCATAGCTTCCAGTTTCCATTTCTCCTGTACATATTCATTTCAGTTGAAGGCTAGTGGAGTGGGAGAGATATTGTCTGGTGATTCTGATTGTGAGCTGGTGCAGTTGTAAAGTAAAATCTGTACCTGGTGATTTGATGGGACGCATACCTCAGATACGCTTCTGAAGAATGCAGAAAGTCAGGTTGGAAAAAGAGTGTGAAAGAAATGTCACACTGTGATAGAGCTGATTTTGCTATGGAGATTCTTTGCATCATATTGTCACTTCAGTAGCAGATTTCTGTCATTATCAGAAATGAATCATTTAAGAAATTGCAAAATCAAACAGTGGAGAAGACAGATATTTACTGTACACTTCAAAATGTGGAAGCATGAGAAGTTTGAAAGATACAGTGCAAAATCTTGGGGGAAAAGATTCTTTCTAAACGTTGAGATGCCAGGTTAGGCCACAGGAAAGAGCATGAAACAAGAGAAGTCACTTTGAAAGTTTCCTTTTCACTTTCAACAACTACCATGCCAACCTGGCCATTCTAAGTAAATGCTGTAAAGGATCCAAAATATTTGCAGTGCACATGCATTCAACTGCTAGTGTGCTAGAACATTTTTTATAGTTCAGGTTATTATTCTGATATTTTAGTTGGCTTCTTGGGTGTTGGCCTCACGGTACATTTGAGATCTAAACTATAGAGGGAAGGACTGAAGGGGGTTATTCATGGACTTGGCTTTATGCTTTATCCCCTAATATTATGAAACTATTTCAGAAAGGCAGCTGCCTGCTGCTTGTTTGGGCACATACAGTAGATCAGGATTTGTAGTAAAAAAGGACTGTTCATGTCCAAATCACAGTGTAAGGGCTTACATAGCTATTATGTAGTATGTTTGTATTGTTCAATATTCCAGATAGTATTCTACCACATTATCTGTTTTCCTTGGAATCTCAGTTTTAAATAAAGAGCGTTTATGGCTAGTTTTTTTCTATGATACCTTGGGAATAATGAAGCAGCAGATTTTTAGAGAGGACGCTTGTTTCAGCCTCTATTTCCTCTTCGTGCAATATCTGCCTGCTCTAAATTCTCATTAGTGTTTTCTTCTTGGTCACTTATTGTTTTTTAATGAGAAAACGTGTTTCACCATGATCTGGAATGACAACCAAATGACACCTGGGCCCTTAAGCCTTAACTCTGCTCCCATGCAAATTAATGGCAGAGCTCTTAATGACTTGCTTAGGTATGAGCTGGGAGCTCTACAGAGCATTTTTAGTTTAAGGAGGAGTTTTAAGTGGGAAAATCCTGAGTCCCTTCCATGGTGAGGCTCTTTGCTTACTTTGCAGTAAGTGTTCCCCAAGTTTGTCTAAGTTCCCTGCAATTGTTTGGGATAACTTAAAATTCCTAATTGTCTGTGTTCAATTTCCAGAGAGAGCATGTGGGGCTGTGCCAGGTCAGCTGCTAACCCTTTTCGTTTTTTCAACTCCAGGTATGAAGCATTTTATTGTGTATTATATAATGTTCTGTTGTATTGACAAAAGTCTAGTAGCAGTACTTTTCAACTTTATTTCCCTCTTTATGCCATGGCTGGGGAATATGTGGGGTTGGGCAAGGTCCAAAGTTGATCTTCAGTTTTGGTTTTTATTCTCTGGGGATGGGAGGATGGTGCTGTGCATTGTGGGAAACTGTAGGGGTATTTTTTTCCCTTATCCTAGCAAATAAATTAAAAAAACGGTAACAGCAAAAAAGAATCCTATCTCAAGTTTGATAACGCAGTTGAAAATGTCCAAAATAGCTTACTGAAGCTGAGTAATACCTTGCTTTATGGATGGTCAGTGTGGATCTAGATAACTTAGGTTCTAATGGATCATTGTCAGTTACCACAAAGTAGCAGACAAGCAAAGCTGTAAAATGCAGGAGGAGATATTTGCAAACCCTTTGTTTGTTAGGGTTTATGTTGTTTGGCTTGTTTGTTTGTTTGTTTTTGGGTTTTTTTGAGGATGCCAATAATCTAAAACTTCACTATGTGATATGTTCAGTAGATACCCTTGTGAAGAGTGCAGAGTTTACAGCCAAATCTAGTGGGAGGTTCCAGCAAGTCTGTAACACTTTTTAACACTGCAGAATGTCTCATGTTCACCTTACCTGCACAAATGTAGCGTATATGGCAGAACAAGGATATGAATGCTGATAGGGTTATTGGTTTTGTTGGTTTCATCGCTCTGGCTTTAGTGAGTTCTAAAATAGTGTGCGATGAAATGTCCACTCTTAGTGTGTTTGCTTGTTTACTTGTCCTTCTCCCTTCCTTTGTTTTATGGGCCTCTGAAAAGATTTCTTTGGGGTTGCATTTATTGTGTGACAAGTGTAAACCCATCAACTCTTAATATAAGAGTATGGACCATCTATCTGTGGACTACCAAAGGAGAAACAACTTCATTCATTCACTGTAGGCAAATAAGTTGCTGCAGAAAAGTAATTCTTCGCATTTACAAGTACGTCTAATCTTTGTAAGAAAGTTAAGATGGCATGTTTAAGAGCAATTATGCTTTCAAATTGCTAATAAGTAGCCATACAGAAATTGTTCCTCAAATCTACTCATGTCACTAATTTGCAGTTAATTCCATTACAACTTGTATATTTACATTAAAAAAATGCAAGATCTTGTTACACAAACATTTTCAAAGTAGTAGCAGCAACTTCTTTGTGAAGGCCAGTGCAGAGTTCTAAGCTTTTCTGTTAGGTTCTATTTCACAGGAAGATTTACCTTCTTTTTTTTTTTTTTGTCCAAGTCTGTTATGTTGTCAGTAATTTGCTCAAACAGTTCTGAATTTACACATACCATAACAGAGGACATGAGATCCTAATAAGTCCCCTGAACAGCATGCCTAGTTACAAGTAGATGGAGATGGTGTGAAACATCTCCTATACCATCTCTGCCGCTGCACATTTGTTGGCTTGACTGGCACGAGATGAGACTGAAATTCAATATTTTCATGAGGCAAATAAAGCCATAAACTTGGAAGAGAGATACAGGGACTTCTCTGTCTTTTTTAAATAATGGAGCAAATTGTTTAAGGTCACATCTGTCAAACCTCATTTAGACCATGTGGACTATCTGCAAAGTGATATGGGAAAAGCGAAGCCAATGAGATGAATATTTAAGTCAGTGTATCACTTGAAATTATGAAATCCTGTGGCCCACTTAAAATTTCTTACATTGCTGGGAGTATTTCTCACAGCTGGTCTTGCTTCTTGGAGTATGGAGCTATTACCTTTTAGGAATAAGTAACTGCTTGTCAGAAATGAGCTCTGTTGCAACTAAAGACAGCTGTCTGAGGATGTGTTTCATTTGAGTGAAATTTTATGCATCCTTAGCTCTGTTCTTTTTTCATTTCTTCCTATTTAATTACATTTTTTCACCAAATTTCAAAAAGGCTACTTTTTCCACAAAATAACACAATTATGGTATTTTAGTTATGAAAGTACTAAAATATTTGCAAGTACTTTCTTCATGGCAATAGGAGAGGGGAGTGCATCATCAAATCCTGAAATAACATTTTTGTAGGTTGATTTCCACTCTTTATTGTGCTCACCAAATCTGTTTTACTCAGAACTGATCTCTCCCACATTCAGCATCTGCTGACTTCCATGGATGGCTGCAGACTGAGGCTGTTGTTCCAGTTCAGAGATACCAACTGCTCTTTTCCTGTAATTTGCTGAGCATTTTATCTGTACTTTCTCTCCTGATCTAGAAGTTGCCCGATCCACCATTTCACCATTCACAAAGTGATTCTACATGTGAATCTGAGATATTGGTATGCATAACATGCCTCTTCACCCGTGGTGTCTTGCAGACAGTTCTGATTTTGGTCCTTGCAATTCACCCCGTTCTACTTTTTAGCACCTCATTCCACAGATTTGGCCAGATGGAAGATGTTTGGCAGCTGGAGGACCCAGATGCCAAATTCTGGAATATAGCTTTCTTGCATTGGCACATGGATTTGTTGCTGGCGTCTTGGCTTGTACCTCAGCTAGCTTCTTGGCTAGCTGTCTAGCTGGCAGCTGCAGCACTGCCTCTGGGGCTATGTTAGGGTCAAGCTGCTATGGAGTTGGATGACTTTCCTGATCTGAATCACTCTGCTTTAGTTTCACCTTAGTTTGCTTTGAGTCTCCACTATTAAAAGACAAACGTTTGTACTGTTGTGTTTTATTGCTGCCATTTGTGAGACTGACTCAAAGTAGATCTCTTTTGTCACCAGTTTAAAAAGAAAATAAACATGGCAAAGTACACGGTTTCTCTTGTTGGGATTCCCATTCAGTCAGTAGCAATTTAAGGTCCAGTTTGGTATTCGCAATTCATCTCCCACACCAAATATTAACTACAGAGCACAGAATAAATAAATGTTTAATAATAAACAATAACAATAATAAAAAAAATGTTTGTGTCTAAACTTTGGTTGCTTTCAGCCATGAATGAATCTTGCCTCTGTTGAACAGAAAAAAAAAATGGCGCATTTGGGAGACAATCTGGATCATTTTTAAGGAAAAAGAATAAAGAATAATGCTGATAATAAATAGAATACAGCTGACAGAAGAAAATGCTTGCTCTTCTCTTTGCCTGATTTGGAATGTCCTCATTACATACTTCAGTTTTACCTTAGATGTTTTTGTTGTCATTTTGTTGTTGGTTTTTGTTTTGTTTTGTTTTGTTTTTTTTAATAAGGTAATGAAAAATTAATGCATCTAGGATAGCCAAAGCATTTGAAGTAATTCCCTAATATATCACTATATCTTTTCCTCCATGCAGCTCAATGCATAAACATTGCTTTCAGTGGGAAAAACTTCAAAATCAGGAGGTCACTGAGATTCCAGATACAAGCAGTAAAGTACAAATGAGTCAGACTGAATATGAAATTTTCATTCCTTCTCCTTCTCTCAGCTACACTGAGAACATGTTGAGCCACACTGGAGGCTGCGGTACCTTTGTTTCACACTGATAGAACTTGTTAATCCTATAGCAAAAAGCACTTGTGCCTAGCTTACATACCAACTTTCTCTTTGTTGTTTATAATTTCTGGAGAATGATTTGACCTTGGAAGTAAAGCACCAGAATTCCTCATCATAGTCATTACAGACTCACACCTCAAGAGTGACCAAAGAAAGAGCAGATCCTCTCTATCTGATTTAGTTGTATACTTATCTTTCGTGACTGTCTACAGAACTTAAATGCTTCCGTCAGAGTATAGCCTCACATTGGGTAAGTTGTTAGGGACTTCAGAGGGGACTGGCAGGAACTAAGAGCATCTTTTCCGCTTACAGAAGATCCTTTCAGCCTTTTTTTCTGGATGATAACAGAGCAGAGATAGTTCTTTTGAGAAACAAGCTGGTAGCAGCAACAGCAGTACATCCACCTTTTGCAGAAGTTTGTTAACAGCTTGTCAAATGAGGCCTGACTTTCAGATTCTCAGCTCAAGCATCACAGTTACATTTTAATCATTAGGATCTTAAGCACAGGTCTTATCTCCTTTCTTTCTGAGTATAGAGCAGTGTATAGACAAGAGGACTGGATGGGATGGAAAGTGGGTAAGCAGAGCCTGAATCCTAGCTGAATATAGGCAGGACTGTAGCTATGGGCTTAGTTCTCTGAAGCAGCATTAGAACAGAAACAGCCCTGAATAGTGAGACAGAGCTTCCACCATTTCCTGCTTGGAGCTGAATGGGAGTTCTTCACAAAACGCACACAAAGTTCAGGATGTTGCCTTTGCCAGTAGGTGGAAAAGAGGCACCACCCAGAATAAGTGTATGCAAACTTTGGATAAGCACCCAGAGAAGCCCCAGTGTAACAGAGAAGGACTCTGTAAGTTCATGCTGGGTACTCCTGTTTCCTAGACAGTGGGTAGGAATGCAGTCACAGATATAGGAAAGGTTTTGGAACGCCTTCTTCACACATTTCACTTTAAAAACTATTTTCTTCTTTCAAATGAGCAGTCTCAGTTCTTAATGTAGTAGAATGAAAGGTATTGTTCCTTTATCTGGAGGACTCATTTTTCCTTGTTTACCTGTTTCTGTCCTTTATCAAAGAATGGAACTGGCTGTCCAAAACTTTTACATCTCAGCCACAATTTCTGCCCTATTAAAGAGATTCTTGTCATTTTGCATATCTAAATCATTTGGAAATAATATATAAGGTTGAGCAAATTGTCTTTAAAAAAATAACACACACAACAACAAAAAGAACAAAAAAAAAACAACAATGATATGGGGTAATAACTCCATATGCATTCTTGTCAAGTGGAAAAACAATGTATGCTAATCATTAAAAAAAAAGAAAATAGCTGCAAAGATAGTTTTCTCTGCCTTGCACTTCTAGTACAGTCTGTAATCCAACAATTCTTAAAAAAACATTTTAAAACATTTGTGCTGCCAAGACACTGCTGTAAAACATTGTAAAACAAGTAGAAGTATTACTCTTAAGGCCAAGTGACTACA